CCGTACCGGGGAATTCAGATATTGAACTGATTTTTAGAAAATCGGACAGATAAATAATGTTCGATTTTCACTTATTCGGACAATTTATGTCCGAATAAGCAAAAATCGTTCGTTATTATCTTATTTAAATTATTGAAAATATAAAATAGAAATTAATTTCCATACAAATAAAATCTTTAATTTTATATATATCAAATTATATAAATTTACCTATAATATATATTACATTAATGTATGTTATTATATATTATTACTGTAATTAGTCTTAGTTTTGCCGTCAAACAAACGTCAAAAAAATGATGTCCCGTGAATGGGACATATCGATGTCATGTGCGGGTCTCATGAGACCTAATTTTTAAAACATTTAATTAGTCATTTTGTGATCAAAATTTAACCAACATACAATGGATATCTACATAAATATCCACTGAATACTGATGTGGAAGTCCAGTGGATATTGACCTACCCAGATAGCAAAATGCTAGCAGTATGCCAGCAGTATGCCAGCAAATTCAATCATGACTTCGCAGCAGATTCCGCTCTGCTGCGTCCTTATTAAGCTTAATTTCTGGCAGCACGGTTTGCCGATATAATATAACAAAGAAAATGGAGCAAAAATCGAGTATTATTTGCTATTTCGTCGTGACAACAGATATATAACAAATATCGAGCAAAGTCTGCCATATCAGATCTGACGGCAGAAATTCAGCAGATATCAAGCATATGGCATGCCGTTACATCGTTACAACGTGACGGCAGAAACGCAGCAAAAGTCGAGCATTGCCTGCTGTCACAATGTGACGACGAAAACACAGTAAAGATAAAACACGCCTGCAAAGCATAATTACTAATATAGAAATGTGACGACGAAAACACAGTAAAGATAAAACACGCCTGCAAAGCGTAATTACTAATATAGACCACGTTTACACTTAGCATTTACATACACCGCGGCCTATACCTCAAATTCGACCTAAATTATTTAGGCCGCCTGCTATAAACACTTGACAGGCGACTCGATCTGACTTCAGGTCAGGCTCCGTATTTTAGTGACCTGACCTGAAATAAACCGCCTGCTTTTTCGATGTAAACGCGCGATCAATCGCAATGCGACCTAAAAGCTTATTTGCTTGCTTGTTTTGTTGAGCTGTCAAATCAAATGATAGCTGTCAAGGTTAAACCGGCGAATTGGACTAGCGTGGACTAAATGCGACCCTGTCAATTCATAGGTCTCTTTCGGTGTAAACGGTTGATGACTAGACCTACTTTGGGTCACGGTATAGGTCAGGCCGCGATCAGATTGCTGGGTTTCAAGAAGTCAATAAATGGACAATTTTTTATTGATCCACTCGCTTTCCAAACTTTTAGTTTAATATTCTGAGTCCTTTGTTAGAATTCAGAAATTAAGCTGATAAAAATAGATATTATGGCTCCTGCACACAGGACACAGCACGCGGCAACGCTTGCCGCGTCGCCGAGTCCTGTGTGCAGGAGTCATTACATATTTTTAATCTTGTTAACCGCGCTTTGCAATCTTTATATTTGCTTGTAACAGAAACTTGATTATGAGATAGATACATTATATAGCGGTAAACGAAAGAACTGTAACTTGATATAGCATATCTTAATATTGCTGTGATTCTACCATTATTTTATGACAACAAATCATACTGCGTTTCTGCTATGTTTTTGCTGTTATCTTATGAAATGGCAGCGCATGCTTAATTTTTGCAGCATTTCTGCTTTTACGCCGTGCTTGCAGATGAACTCGATTTCTAACGATATTCTACCGATATAGCATAATGTGTCATGTTATGTTCAGTTTTTATTTAGATTCTGTTGACATATTATACCAAAACGCAATACTTTAAATCTACTGTTTTTATGCCAAGAACTTCTGCTTAAATTTTGCAGCATTTCTTGTAGCATATAATGATGCAGAGATTGCTTGTTTTCTGTTGCATTTCTGCTGGCACTAATTGAAATGGCAAATTGTGCGTTGCTAGAATTCTACCGATATAATATGTAATGCATAATTTGCAATACGTGATCGGGCAAACTTGGCTATCCGGGTACATATCCTGTGGATATTTATAAGATATCATATTGCGGACATTTGGATATTTAAAGCATGTCTAATAACCGTTTCCTGCATATTCATGGATATCCGTAATGCACATTGAGAGCATCCAGTAGATATCTAATATACATTAATTTCTGTGTGGCTGACGTACATTGATTGAAAAGGTACTGTATCATATTTAATTACAATTTTATATTAATTGATAGAATTAATAAAATTGAAGGGAAAATATGTTTTTATTATAAAATCTATAAAATTTTCTTATTAATACACATACACGCACAATTTTTTTTGTCTCAATAAAAGATGTATTATTGTGATTTATAATGTGTAGGTTAGAAATTTGTAGGAAAACGTTATTTATTATATTCTTAACACAATATTTTTTCTTATATTTATAAATAAATGTTTTCTAAAATTGGAAATACATCATGTTTATCTGATTTCTAAAAGCAAAAATTTAATGTTTCCAAATTGTTCTGTCTAGTTTTTATGGCAAAGTTACTGTTGTGAAATTTAACTATTGATAATATATATTAATTACTTTTTTTAAATAAATATTGTTCTGTATTGCAAATGGATAGCTTGCATAGAAAAAAAAGATGTGCAAATATTACAAATGAGCAAAGAACGCTGTTAATAGAATACATGAATAAGCATCCGGAATTACTAAAAGGAAAGTTAACATCTTCGTTTATCTTAAAAAATTCCATATTTTTGTGGAATGACATAACTGAAATCTTAAATTCAGTAAATGGCACTAATAATGATTGGAAAGGTTGACGTAAGGTAAGTTATATTTCTAAATCAATAATTTGTGCTGCTCATATAATTTTAATCACTCAAATAGTTTTAATTTAACCTTTCAATGAAAAAAATGTTTCTAGTGCTGGCATGATTTTCAATCACGCAGTAAAAAAAAACATACTTTGATAAAACAATCTATGACAGCAACAGGAGGTGGTAAACAAAATACAGAAGTATTGACATCACAAGAAGAACAAGTCTTTAATATAATGTATTCAACTAATGTTCATGGACATCCTGATATAGAAGAATCCAATATAAATATATTGAAAGATTCAGAAGTAAGATTTAACAAAAAATGTTTTATATTTTTGTTATTATTTATATTAACTAGTAAAGAGATAAATACCAAAGTCCATATTCTGAACTCTCTTTTATCGATAAAAGTGCCCCTAAAAGTGGCTTGTAGCTAATCAAAAGTCTTATAGTCTTAAGCCACTTTTAGAGGTGCTTTTATCAATAAAAGAGAGTTCAGAATATGGACCCAAATATATGTGTCATATTATATCTTAATTACAATTAAAATATAAGAATTGTATATATATGCATATGCTTATGTATTTTACAAATAACAACATATAATTTTTATAAAACATAATGTATATTTGCTTTGCAGGACGATGTAATGGAAATGGAATACTTAAAGGAATATGAAGAAGATTTATTCTTAAAGGTTGTACCTTCTACATCACATTCTGATAGTAATAACTGCAATATGTTAGTTCCTAAAAAAAAAGCAATTATAAACAACGATTCCAATGAATTATCAAATGAAAAGGAGAATGAAATATGAAGCAATGATATAGATGTTAAACAGCCTTCTTCCAAAGTAGGTAAAGTCCTTCAGAACATAAGAATGTCATTGAATACAAAATCTTGTGAACAAAACAAAACCCCAATTCAGAAGAAATAAATAACCATCGTAAAAAAGGAATTACAAAATACTGCTGAAATATCACTAAAATTGAACAATATTTATAAAAAAAACATACGAATTGAAAAAAAATATTATGAAGAGAGATTAGAATATTTAAAAAGATCTGTAGAAGCAAAGGAAAAAATAGCTAATATTATGGAGAAGTGTCTTAAAGAATATGTCTTAAAAGAAAATATAGCATTGTATAGGTATTGTGTTATTCAGTAACCAGTAACACAATATCTATACGATGAAACTATAATAATTATATATATCTAATTGTAAGTAGATTCTTTATGTATATGTGATATATTGGAACAATTGTGATCTCTTAAACTTATCAAAGTTTAATTGTTAAGTAAAATTATTAAGACTGAGTAGGTCCGGTGTGTAAAGTAAAGTGTGTAGTGTAAAGAAAAAAACAAATAATTGTTTAAAAAAATACATTGTAAATAATTACATACTTTTTCTTAAAAACAATTATTTTTTTACAAATCGATTTGTCTCATTATTCTGTGCATAAAAGTATTACGGTAAGATTATCGAAAACTAAATATTTTACGAAATATTTTATTTTTTATATCAAAATATGTCAGATTAAAATATAAAATAACTCAAAAAGTAGTTAATGAAAAAATACTTTATTATAGTGTTTTGGAAAGCTCTCGGGATAAGCTATAAGAATATGCAATAAAAAATAGGGGATTCCATTTAAGAAATTAAAGGTGTCCTTGACTTGACCTTAACGATGCCATCCAAGGTCAAACCAATGACACCATCTTATGTTCCCCTCAAAACCATACAATTTTTGTTCAAAACGTTTTTCTCTAAAATGCTTAGTTTTTGAAAGAAAAGGGGTGTACGGGTGGTCTAGGACACCCTGTATATGCAGAATGTCCGATAATTCGCGTCCCACCCGTTGGATGTAGATAGAGCGGGCTAAACTGAGTAGGAAAATCCTCTACTATTTTTTAAAATGAGAAATTAATTTAAAAAGATTGGCCAATTTGCGCGCTTACAAGCGCGCAGCGAGAAGAGACAGAGGGGTTTAGTGTTACACCTTGTTCGTATATATGTACAATACGCAATGGCAGGAATGATCCGGCGTTAGATGTGTGTGTGTGTGTGTACGTGTATGACAACTGAAAGTCATACGCACAAATACGTAACGCGAATATACGTATGTATGATTTTCGGTTGCTTACACGTATACACACATCTAACGCCGGACACCATTCATACCGGCACCAGTGATGCCAGTTTCGAGACGCTGTGGCTGTGGCAGCGTCTTGAAACTGGCATCACTGACCGGCACGTGTATGTACATACATGGCTATTGTCTTTTGTAAATCGTTCTTCTCCCTCCCCTCCGTCGCGCGCCGAGCACTCATGTAACATTAAACTGTTTCTTTTCGCCGCGTGCTTAATAACTACGTAAGATTGGGTACGTAACTCCGGGCTAAGTTTACGTCGTCGACCAGATATTGTTGCCAATTTATTGTAGGTAATTAATTCGGATGAATCGCGCCCTTAATAGTTGTCGAGCCACGCGTTTTTGTGGATTATCTTTTGTGGAATTTTTAGTAAATTGCGTCGCAACGGCCGACGGGCACTTGCTACTCATCCGGATTATAGAAAATATGCTCTCTCCACTTATTTTGCCGCCGCCGATAGTCATTAACGTTAGTTTCGAGTTTATAATCATTGTATGTTGTAAATTATCGAGATCTTTACGTTCGCGCAATCGATGTACCGACTCGCGTAAAGTATTGCGTCACTACGCGACTCGTACATCACAGTCATTCTCGATAGTTCCCGCATTCTTTCTGTGTATTGTTAGCGAGTATATTGTGTGTAGTATATGAAATTAGAGTAAGAGGAAAGTGAAATTCTTAAATATCGTGCAGAAAATCTGTCGGGTATCGTTGAGCCCACTATTAGTTTCCGCGAGTCATTCGAGTTATATATTACGTATTTCAACGCAAAGGTCGTCGTCATTGTTATCGAGACGTATACCGGCTTTCCGCGAGCCAGCTAAAGTACCGATTTGAGCCGTGTCATCTAGAATTTTCTATTATATCAAAGCGGATTCACGGGCGTGCGTAAAGTAGTTACCGGCGTATTCGAAAGATTTCTTTAGTTGTCGCGGCCTAAATAAATCACGTACGGCGGAAATCCTCGCGGCCGAAAAGTCGAGTTTAAAGTACGTAAGACGCCCGGTAATTCGATACTATTGCGCACGGTCGTGTCGATCTCCGCAGAAATAATATGATATCTTATTCACTTGTAAAATAACTACTGTCATCAAAGACTGTTACTTATGTGAACTGCTTTATACTCTTGTTTCTTTTAACATATTATTGTTATCTTTATTTTAACATATCGAATGCTCATTTTGGCTCCCGTGTTCTCGATTCTCAAGATCTCTCCCGTTTCTCCCGAACCACCCCCCTCTACCATTTCGAGTACACTGAGTAGCTGTGGAATTTTGCCGTCGCGTTAATTATCGGTCTCGCAATTGTCTTTCGGTGTTGCTATTATCGTGAATGGTGCGGCCTGCCGTATCTGGCGCCCAATTCGGTTTATTTTGCGATAAAGTGAATTTTCTGGATCACGGGATCGATATTCGAGATACGCGCCGAAGGTGTGCGTGGGCATCGAAGAAGCGCCCGCCGATCAAATAATTATTACATAAATAATTAGAAAAAGAAATACGGTTACAAATTGGCAAATTGGTAACTACGTAAAATTAGCCCGCGATTATTTGAAATTTGTGATACTTAATTTAAGTAAATTAAAATAAATAATAAATTTAAGTAAATAATTGTTTCATGTAATGGTGTTTTATGCGATATTCTTCTATTAGAAAATAATACCTTTAGATGTAATTTTTTTTTTATTTACTTAAAACTAAAAAATTGATATTTTCATACTATTAAATTTTTCTCACTAAAATATTAACTTTTTTATCTGAAAGTACGGGAAAAATCCTAAAAAATTCATGTCTATAAAAATGTTGTATATTTTATAATTTTAGCTATAAATGTCAAAAAAAGAAAAATTTTTTAAAACGACCTACCTCCAATACCTTGGATGCAACGCATATAATACTTATTTTTTTTTTATCTTTAACCTTATACAATATGTGCACTAACATGTTTTCATGATCATTTTTAAAATCCCAAGCAGTTCATTTTTAGGTGGACCCCTGACACGTGGAATGCACCCTATGTAAGATTGGGTTTTTTTCGCCTCGCGATTGTACCCATACTCGCGCGGATTGACCAGTCTTTATTAATTAATTTTTTATTGATTATTGCAAAAATCGCAAATTAGTAAAAGAACTTTTTTACTCAGTTTAACACGCTCTGTATTTACACGAGATATGATTCGCGAATTATTAGATATCATATATAT